GGCTGTACCATCTCTGTTATTCTTTTTGCTCTTGCCATGAACATGGTGGTCAAGTCAGCCGAGGTGGAATGTAGAGGGCCCTTAACCAAGTCAGGAGTACGACAGCCCCCGATAAGAGCCTATATGGATGACCTTATTATTACAACGACATCGGTCCCAGGGAGCAGGTGGATCTTACAAGGACTTGAAAGACTCATCACCTGGGCAAGGATGCGTTTTAAGCCCTCCAAGTCAAGGTCCATGGTGCTGAAGAAGGGGAAAGTGGTTGACAAGTTCCGTTTTTCGATCTCAGGAACTGTCATCCCAACCATCGCGGAGCAACCTGTCAAGAGTTTGGGGAAGCTTTTTGACTCTACCCTGAAAGACTCTGCCGCCATTCAGAAGTCCAACAAAGAACTTGGAGCTTGGCTCACTAAGGTTGACAAGTCCGGTCTGCCTGGTAGATTTAAAGCCTGGATCTACCAGCATTCCATACTGCCCCGAGTCTTGTGGCCCCTGCTGATCTATGAAGTCCCAATGACAACAGTTGAGTCCCTAGAAAGGAAGATCAGTGGCTTTCTTCGGAAGTGGCTGGGTCTTCCACGCAGTCTTACCAGCGCTGCACTGTATGGGACAAGTAACATCTTGCAGTTGCCCTTCAGTGGTCTTACAGAAGAATTTAAGGTGGTACGCACCAGAGAAGCCCTACAGTATAGGGACTCCAGGGACTGTAAGGTGTCAGCAGCCGGCATCGAGGTGAGAACAGGAAGGAAATGGAAGGCTGGGAAAGCAGTGGAGGTGGCAGAGTCACGCCTGAGACAAAAGGCTCTGGTGGGCACCGTGGCGACAGGCAGAGCGGGCTTGGGCTACTTTCCAAAGACCTTGGTTAGCCAGGCCCACGGTAAGGAAAGACACCACCTACTGCAGGAAGAGGATCGAGCAGGCGTGGAGGAAGAGCGAGTGAGCAGGGCAGGGGGACTCCGGCAGCAGGGAGCGTGGACTAGGTGGGAGAGTACACTGCAGCGTAGGATCACCTGGGCAAACATCTTGCAGGCAGATTTCCATCGGGTCCGTTTCCTGGTACAAGCTGTCTATGATGCCCTGCCAAGCCCAGCGAACCTCCATGTCTGGGGGAAGAGTGAGACACCCTTCTGCCTTCTTTGCTCTGGAAGAGGCTCTCTAGAACATCTCCTCAGCAGTTGCCCAAAGGCTCTGGCTGATGGGCGCTATCGGTGGCGCCATGACCAGGTGCTTAAGGCAATTGCTGAGAGCTTAGCCTCAGCCATTAGCACCAACAAGTACCATCATGCTCCAAAGAAGGCAGTCCACTTTATTAAAGCTGGAGAGAAACATCGGGTGTGCCCACAATTAACAACAGGCCTCCTTCATAAAGCCTCGGATTGGCAGCTGCAGGTTGACCTGGGAAAACAGCTGAGGTTCCCTCAGCACATTGTAACAACAAGTCTCTGCCCAGACATGATAGTTACCTCCGAGGTTTCAAAACAGCTACTCATGCTGGAACTTACGGTTCCCTGGGAAGAGCGTATTGAGGAAGCAAATGAAAGGAAATGCGCTAAGTACCAGGAACTGGTGGAGAAGTGCAGGGAGAGAGGCTGGAGAACCTTCTATGAGCCTATAGAAGTCGGCTGTAGAGGCTTTGCAGGACGTTCACTTTGCAAAGTCCTCAGTCGTTTGGGCATTACAGGGGTGGCCAAGAAGAGGGCCATTCAAGCCGCGAGCGAAGCTGCAGAGAAGGCCACAAGGTGGCTTTGGTTTAAGAGGGCTGATCCGTGGGCTGCTACTGGGACGCAAGTCGGGGCTTGATCAACCCCGGCTGGGTCGCCTGGGCGAGGGTGTATGATGTTGTGAGACCGAAACACCCAATGACCCCAGGGTACATCACTGAGGATGTGTCCCAGTGCATTCATGAGATGTTTCTTGTATAGTTATTATTATTAATGGTGGCATTTAACAAAAATAAATAATTAAATTAAAAAAATAAAACACAAAATTAATAACAGTGATGTTATCCCAATAATATTAGATATTTTATTTTATACTTTTATTCATACTTTGTTGCTCTGCCATTGTTTTTGCACTGGACTATCACATTATTTACATATGACTTTGCTCTTGAACTTCAAAGATCTTTCTATATGATTTGAAAGGATCAGTTAAACCACACTGTTTGTGTTCATTACCAGGGAGGGTAGTGCACTCTTGATTTCTCGTCTCCCATTGGCAGTTCTGATCTGTGGCACAACTTTTACAGTTGGTCTTCTTGCTGCACACAAAGGATGGGTTATCCTTTGGACACACCTCATACTCCATTATCCCACCCTGCAGACCGGCAGACAGATTAGACACGTCAGAGCAAAGTCCCAGTATTACAAATTCATAAACTGAACTGTGTTCTTCCACACACTTTTCTTTAAGTCATGGCGTATTAAATGTTAAGTCTTACCGGGGAACTGGTGCAGTTACTATGACCAGACACACAGATGGCAGCGCACCACTGGCAGCTGTTAGTGTTCGCTGTGCAGCTGTAGCAGTCTGAATATTGGTCACACTTTTCACCATCTGCATCTGGAAAGCACACATATAAATTACTGCATACAACGCCTGTGGCGGTAACTGTGCATTCAGTGATGCCATACTCTGGAACAAAAGTTAAGCATACAGATAAATCTGTTGTAAGCAACTGCATCTGACAGATCATTAAGATTAACATCTATTCAGATAGGACTAGCTCTTCCTAGTTCTTATAGTTTTGATTTGGATTGGAATTAAATTGAGAATCACAATTTCAGTTAAAAAAAAACCTATAGAGCAAATAACCCATCATTTCTGGCCTAACTCTGACATCCTCAAAGAAATCTAATCCTGTTCCGTTAAGAATGCTTGTGTTTGTGGATATTGTATTTTCACAATACCTCTTTTGCCAAATAACTAAAGCTAACATTATCTGTGTGTACAAAACTTCTTACTGCATGCTACAACATCATGGATTTAGACCTTTTTGGCAATATTCTGGATAAATATAAATACTGCCTGCTAGTATCCCATGAGGCATAAAAAACTTCACATCAATAAGGAGAGCCAGCAGCCGGGTGCAATAAACCCTTTTAAGTTAAGAAAACCCTCAGTGATAATTCATCACTCTTAGTGATAAATTCATAACTATAACTAAGGGATTTCCCGGCAAAAGACAGGCTGCATATTTGATCAAAACTACATTAATATTAAAACCGTAATAGTGTGAAATATTACAACTCAAAACAACCAATGTTTTCTATTTTCAAATGTAATTTATTCCCGTGATAGCAAAGCTGAATTTTCAGCATCATTACTCCAGTCTTCAGTGTCACATGATTCTTCAGAAGTCATTCTAATGTGCTGATTTGGTGCTTAAAGGGGTCCTATTATGCTTTTTCACTTTTTCAACTTTAGTTAGTCTGTAATGTTGCTGTTTGAGCATAAAAAAAGATCTGCGAAGTTACAAAGCTCAAAGTCCACTTCAAAAGGAGATATTTTAATTTAACAGAAATCACTTTTCAAAAACTACAACGAACGACTCGTTTGGACTACAACGCATATTTTCCGGGATTTGTGATATCACAAATACCGACGAATGGGACGAGACCTGGTTGAGCTGCACTAGAGAAGGCAATGAGGGTTATCACTATGTCGGAGACACGCTAGCTTTCCCAAGGTAGACGAACTTAGAGTGGTTACAATCATCCGGGGTTTAAATCGCGCTCAAATTGATTTGATATTGACGCAATATTTACACTGAACCTCGCAGGCAGCTATGGTAAGTAGGGGTGGGGGATAAATCGATCCAGCATAGTATCGCGATATTTTCCGTGGCAATACTGTATCGATACACGGACGCCAAGTATCGATCTTTTATTATACTATTTGGTAAAATAATAAAATAAATTTCTTTACAATCCACTATGGCGGTGTCGAGTTTTTTTCTGGTGATATATATATATATATATGGCGCGCCGCGTCGCGTCCCGTCGGCAGTGTTCAGCGCACATGTTTCACTCTCCTCGTCACTGCGCGGTTTGACGCTCCGCTCAATATTCCGATCTATGAATGTGTTCCGCTCATGCTCATCGGAAAAGTAAAGTCCGCTTAAATAACGCGCTGACAGGAAATTTCTATGCAGTATAGGCCTACTTGTTCTGGTTTGCAGTAGCGCTACTGTGCTGTAACATGGTGTAGGCTAGTTCAGCTGTACTGGGCAACACTGCTAAAATGATGCTACCTTCAGTGACGCTATGCTCTGCTCATATACTCTGATAATAATAGCTTTGTAGAACTATTCATTATTTGGATAATTAGTCCAAAAAAAACAACAACAACTTATATCTGATTCTGTTACATAGACGTGAATAAAAATAATATATTGATATTTAATATTAAGGTAACACTTTTCGATAAGGTTCCATTAGTTAATGTATTAACTATCATGAACAATACATTTATTACAGTATTTATTAATCTTTCTTAATGTTAGTTAATGAGAATACAGTTATTCACTGTTAGTTCATGTTAATGCAGAGTGCATTAACTGTTAACAAGCACAACTGTTGATTTTAATAATGCATTAGTAAATGTTGAAATTAACATGAACTAAGATTAGAACTATTGTTCATTCTTAGTTCATTAAATAAAGTAGTTAACTAATGAACCTAAGTGTTACCTATAAATTCTGTCCAGTTTTATTGTGTTACTTTCAGTAAAAGTGTGGTTATTTTATTGGCTTTTTTTTATTTTTTTATTTTTTTCATTAAAATTGAGTTAAATTTAAAAAGTCTTACAAAATTACTTTATATTATTTAATAAAATAATAAATAATCATTACAAA